CAACTCATAGAGACCGTATAGCACAGAGCAGAACTGCCCCACAGGGTTTCTTAAGCTGTAGTCTTAGTGGAAGCAGACTGGCACATCTTTCTTCTTTTTGCATCCTGCAGAGCAGCTGATGAGTTCAAACCAGTGACCTTTAGGTTAGCAGCGGAGCACTTAACCACTGTACCACCAGGGTTCCTTTTGGCATCACATGTAGTGTCTCATTAATATCGTATACATTTAACTATTATGTGTATCTAAAACATCTCTCAAATTAAGAGTTAGAAGAGTTCCAAAAGTAAATGCCAACCATCAGCTTTTTCAAAATACGTTGTTCATGCAGCACATTTCATTAGCTCATGAAGTACGGTTATTTCCTCAAAACATATAAAAAGTTCAAAAGAACAATGGCCATTCATCACAAAGGGCTCTCCAGGGAATGTTCATTTCCAAAACTCTACTTCTGGGAGTTGAAATTCAGGGTGTTTAGGACGGCCAAATTGGTGGGTGATGGCCAATGTTTTGGGAATTTTGGCTTATCATAAATGTGTTATGAAGCAGCATGTTCCTCCTCATCTTCTTCCATGAATTTGCCATTTCACTATCATAGCTTCTTTGCCATTTACCCTTCTTGCATTTAAATGGGTTTCTGTAAATTGATTTTGGTTGCTGTTACTTAGAGGACAGTTGTGGAGTTGATTTTATATTTTTGGTGTGTTTCTTATAAGATTAAACTAGGGAAAATTGCATAAAAGCATATTACCTCATGAAACATAAACCTGAACCCAATTCTGACTCATAGTGAACCTATAGGACAGGGTAGAACTGCCCCATAGGGTTTCCAAGGAGCAGCTGGTGGATTCAAACTGCCAGCCTTTTGGTTAGCAGCCAGATGTTTAACCACTGTGCCATCAGGGCTCCTCATGAAACATACTACTTTTATAATCAAACTGCTATTTTTAAAAAAGGTTATCACCTTTAACTTCTAAAGAAAGTATTGACTACATAGTGGTGTTGTGTGCCGTCAAGTCGGTTCCAACTCATAGTGACTCTACAGAGTAGAACTGCCCCATAGGGTTTCCTACACTGTAAACTTTATGGGAGCAGATCACCAGGTCTTTCTCCCATGGAGCAGCTAGTGCATTCAAACTGCCGACCTTTTGATTAGCAGTCGAGTACTTAACCATTGTGCCACCAGGGCTTCTTCACTACATAGTAAAAGAAAAAACAAACCCGTTGCTGTCGAGTCAATTCTGACTCGTAGTGAACCTGTAGGACAGAGTAGAACTGCTCCCATAGGATTTCCAAGGCTATAAATCTTTACAGAAACAGACTGCCACATCTTTGTCCCATGGAGAAGCTTGTGGGTTCCAACTGCCAATCTTTAGCGGCTGAGCACTTAACCACTGCACTACGAGGGCTCCTTTATAACGTTTTTGTTAGGTGTCATTAAGTCGGTTCCTACTCATAGTGACCTCATGTACAACAGAATGAAACACTGCCCGGTCCTGCTCCATCCTCGCAAGCTTTGCTGTGTTTCAGCCCTTTGTTGTAGCCACTGTGTCAGTCCATCTCATTGAGAGTCTTCCTCTGTTTCACTGACCCTCTACTTTACCAAGCATGATGTCCTTCTCCAGGGTCTGGTTCCTCCTGATAACATATCCAAAGTAGATGAAGTGAAGTCTCATCATCTCACTTCTAATCAGCATTCTGTTTGTGCTTTTTCCAAGACAGATTTGTTATTTCTTCTGGCAGTCATGGTATATTCAATGTTCTTCAAAAACACCAAAGGCATCAATTCTTCTTTGGTCTTCCTTATTCACTGTCCAACTTTTACATGCATATGAGGCGATTAAAAACACCATGGCTTGGGTCAGGTGCACTTTAGGCCTCAAGGTGACCATGGCTTGGGTGAAGCATACCTTACTCCTCAAGATGACTTTGCTTTTTAACCTTTTTGGAGCAGATTTGCCCAATGCAATACGTCATTTGATTTCTTGACTGCTGCTTCCATGGGTGTTGATTGTGGATCCAAGTAAAATGAAATCCTTGACCATGTTAGTATTTTCTCCATTTATCATGATGTTGCTTATTGGTCCAGTTGTGAGGATTTTTGTTTTCTTTATATTGAGGTGTAATCCATACTGAAGGCTATAGTCTTTGATCTTCGTCGGTAAGTTCTTCAAGTCCTTTTTGCTTTCAAGCAAGCAAGGTTGTGTTATCTGCATATCGCAGATTGTTAATGAGTCTTCCTCCAATCCTGATGCCACATTCTTCTTCATATAGCCCAGCTTCTTGGATTATTTGCTCAGCATACAGATTGAATAAGTATGGTGAAACGATACAACCTGACACCCTCTTTTTATGATTTTAAACCATGCAGTATCCCCTTGTTCTGTTCAAACAACTACCTCTTGGTCTATGTACAGGTTCTAGATGAGCACAATTTAAGTATTTTGGAACTCCCTTTCTTTGCAATGTTATCCATAATTTGTTATGATCCACACAGTTGAATGCCTTTGCATAGTCAATAAAACACAGGTAAACATCTTTCTGGTATTTTCT